GCAACAACAGAAGAAGAACAAGAAGCTTTGTCTGAGATCCAATTCAAGATCTTTGTCAAGATCAAGAACAGTATCACGTCCTCCTCATGAAGTTTTGCCTGGTGAGGGATTCAAAGATTCTTCTCAGAAGATAAAGGCTATTAAGATTGGGAACAAATCTCACAAAAAGAGGAACAAAGCTGCACGTCGCGGAGAAGCTGACAGAGTTATACCATGTCTTAAACTTGTTTTCAGGGAAAAGAGGAAAAGGAAAAACCCAAAGGCGTTGAATCCAATAACTAAGGTACTAATCTTATCTTTTCCTAATAGTAAAATTTGATCTTAAGCTGGAAAATAACATAGAATGATATGGTGTAGTTGATTCTTGCAGGAATATGCAGATGATTGAAGAAGATCTCTAGCATGTTTTGGACTTTAAGCATTTTTTACACATTTTTGTTTACTATTATGTTTCTTTCCTAGACATTTGAGATTCGAATTCGATGAAATGCAGAAAGTTTTGATCTGTTGGAGACAGCTTTGAATTATCAGATGGGGTTATTTTTAGATGTTTTGATTCTTAATTCCATTTCCTGGTTCAGTAAAACAACAAGAAATATTAAGATGTTTTGATCCAACCCTTTTCTTAATGACCTTAATGATAACACCCCGACTTTGTCAAAGACTATAAACCCATCTTTAACTACCCTTTAATCAAAGTCTTAGTCCCGCCTCCGTTTTTCTTCCTTTCCAATTATGTTGAACTCTGTACAATCGTTCTATGAAATGTGAGTTGTATTAATACAAATGATCACAAACAAGTATATATAGTAAAGTTGACTCCCAAAAAAAAAAAAAAAATACATATATAGTAAAATTACAGAAAAGTCATTAGTTTAAAGCTTATTACACTTAAGCCCTTAATGCATATCCTTGATTACTTTCTCTATAGCTGTCCTCATCGCACTGATTGACTTTAAACATCTCTGAGACAACACAACCAAGACCATAGACAATAGACCCCATAAAGTTAATTAGAATGAAAATTGTTGCAAGGATCTTTTTTTTTTTAATAATAATTTTTGCTTAGAAAAGTAAAACACGTCCTTGTTAGTTGTTATTGACTATAACCTCATCAATGCATTCAAGACTTAAAACAGTTAAAAGTTAAAACTCACCTCTCTTCTTCCATACAGTGTTGTGAGCAAAGCATATTGTTGTAAAGCACAAGCTAGTGACAGTGCTGATTCAGACGATTGGTGAATCATGTTATTATATTATAGTTTCTTCTTATGTTTCTTGCTTGTTTTGCTTTGATCTGTCTTTTGAACTCTGTTTTGGTGACTTATGTCTTCTTGAAGATATATGTCTGAACATTTAGATTGAAATATCTCTTAATTAATTACTTACCAAGATATGTTTTACAAACTTGAATAAACGTGTCTTTTGGTTTACGAATATGATAGTATTAAGATAGTACTAACTTCAAAGGAGGTTTCATGTCCCACTAGACCGATCTCTCCATGAACGTTTCCTAAAAACGTTTTAGATCTTTTCTCCGAGAATCTTTAACATCGCTGATTATTGACTCATGTGTTGTGTTCATGGTGGTGAAGAAGAGTTAGATATGGGTGACGGAGTCGTGACGTTTGGAGTCCAGAAGCTATGGAACTTCTTGAGTCAACAATCTGAGCGATTGCGCGGAGTTGATGAGCAAGTTTCTGAACTAAGACTTGAACTAGGAAGGTTACAATCATTGTTGAAAGATGCAGATGCCAAGAAATATGAGAGTGAAAGAGTGAGAAACTTCTTGGAAGATGTCAAAGACATCGTTTATGATGCGGAGGATACAATTGAAAGCTTTCTTTTGGAACAAGAAAGGGCAAAAGAAAAAGGGATCAAGAAGCATGTCAAAAGAGTTGCTTGCTTCTTAGTAGATCGTCGGAAATTTGCTTTAGATATCAAAAGCATAACTAAGAGGATCTCCGAGGTGATTGCTCGAATGCAGAGTTTCGGAATACAACAGATCATCGATGGTACTGGTGGCTCTTCACTTTCTCTGCAAGAAAGACAAAGAGAGATCAGACAAATGTTTCCTAACAATTCAGACAACGATCTTGTGGGGTTGGAGCAGAGTGTTGAAGAGCTGGTTGGTCATTTGGTTGGGAATAATAACATTCAAGTTGTTTCTATAACTGGTATGGGCGGTATTGGTAAAACCACTCTTGCTAGAGAAGTTTATCATCATGATATGGTAAGACGTCATTTTGATGGATTTGCATGGGTCTGTGTTTCGCAACGATTTACACAGAAACATGTCTGGCAAAGAATCTTGAAAGATCTTAGACCACATGACGATGGAGACATTTCACATATGGATGAGTATACACTCCAGAACAAACTCTTCAAGCTGTTGGAAACCAATAGATATCTAATTGTTCTCGATGATGTATGGAAAGAAGAAGACTGGGACCGAATAAAAGCAGTGTTTCCACGGAAAAGAGGTAACATTTTATGGTACATACATAGGGCAGTAAAACAAATGCCTTTGTTATAAAGCCATAAATGTTTTGTAGGTTGGAATGTGCTACTTACTTCACGCAATGAGAGTGTTGGTGTACATGCCGATCCAACATGTTTTGCCTTTAAAACAAGAACCCTTACTTCTGAAGATAGTTGGACACTATGTTCGAAGATAGCATTTCCTAGGAGAGACGACACTGGTACGCTTTTAGATTTCTGGTAGATGGATTTTAAAATTACACAC